CTAGTCTGAATTCTGAGTATGACATTCTGAGACAACAGCTTCTAACAAGAGACAGTGTGACTCTATCACAAGCTTACTCTCTAGTGCACAGTGAAGAAAGTAGAAGGAAAGTTATATTACAGCATTCGCCACTTGAATCAGCCTTGGCAGCAACTAAACCCAAGTTTGGGGGGATAAGGAGAGAGATATGAAGAAGGAAGACAAGAATGACATAATATGTGAAAATTGCAAGAAACCTAAGCATACCAAAGAAACCTGTTGGAAGATACATCCTCATCTAGTTCCCGCAAAACTCAGGAACAAAAAGGGGAATGCTAATACAGTTGTTACTATTGATTGTGCAACCTCATCAGGCACAAGAGCAGCACCACTAGACACTCTAGCTGTTGTCCGAGCTGCCTTGACTCAATTGGAAAAGGAGGTTGGTAATTCAGCATCATCATCTCAGCCAGTCACAACATCAGCTCCTCCCACCTCAGCATTTGCTCATTCAGGTACACGGGCCTCAGCTTATCATGCTTCAGGTCCAGGTAACACTAAACATTGTTGGGTAATAGACTCAGGTGCATCTGATCATATGACTGGTTTGCCTTCACTATTTACTACCTATCACTTATCCTCTAGTAAAGACAAGGTGTCTATTGCTGATGGATCACTTGTTCCCATTTCTGGCAAGGGAGACATCAAGTTGTCTAGTGACATTTCCCTGTCTTCTGTTCTGCATGTTCCTAAACTTAGCACCAATTTACTTTCAGTTAGCAGCATTACTAAAGACCACAATTGCTCAGTAACCTTTTTTCCTGATCAATGTGTTTTTCAGGACTTGGAGACAAGGAAGGTGATTGGGACTGGCCGTGAGACAAATGGAATCTATCTGCTTGGAGGAAGTTCACAGTGGGACGGTAGTGAAGTTAGAGGGTCTTTTGTTTCTCAGTCATGCTTTGGCATAACCGATTGGGTCATTTATCCTTTAGGTCTTTAAAAAGTTTGTTTCCTAGTTTATTTGAATCTATCCAGATGCCCAGTTTAAAGTGTGAAAGTTGTGAGCTTGCAAAGCATTGTAGAACAACCTACTCATTAAGTAATAAGAGAAGTAGTGTTCATTTTGACATTGTGCATACCGATGTTTGGGGACCATATCACATCACTGCTATGGGGGGTACAGATACTTCTTGTTGTTTGTTGATGACTACACCCGGTTTTCTTGAGTCTACTTGATGCGTTCTCGAGATGAGGTCCCTACCCTAACCCAGACCTTTCATTAGATGATTTTAACCCAGTTTGGGATAAAAATCAAAATTTTTAGATCCGATAATGCGAGAGAATACTTTAAAACATCACTAGCCTCTTATTTTCTTGACTATGGGATTATCCATCAGAGTACCTGCCCTCATACCCCTCAACAGAATGGGGTGGCTGAGAGAAAGAATAGGCACATATTGGAAGTAGCTAGAAGTATCATATTCAACTCCAATATGCATATACATTTCTGGGGAGATGCCATCTCATAGTTGTGTATCTCATCAACCGTATTCCTTCACGGGTTCTTGACATGAAACCCCCATTCACTCTTTTATATCCTGATAAAGAATTGTTTTCTGTCCCTCTTAAAACCTTTGGTTGTACCTGCTTCGTGCAAACTCTTGGCCCTCACTGTTCCAAATTTGACCCTAAAGCCTCAAAATGTATTTTCCTTGGTTAYGCACCAACTCAAAAGGGATACTGTTGCTACGAACCTGCTTCAAGAAAGAGATTTGTATCCATGGATGTTACTTTCTTTGAGATGTACCTTATTACTCTAGGGTTTCTTCTCAGGGGGAGAGTAGTACGGTTGGGGTTAACACATCAGAAGTCCCTTTACCTGTTCCATTGAGTGAAGAGGGGTGTAATGGGGAGGGTTGTCAAAAATGTTGGGATTTGAGAGTTTATCACAGACGATGGAGGCAAGTTGATTTCGGTCATCAGCAGTCCAGGCCAGGCCCAATTCCTTCTGAAGATCCAGATCCAGGTACTACATCTCTTCCAGCTCCCATTACAGATGAGCCTTCTACTGTTGAGCCTTCTCCATCTTTTGAGCCCTCACTTCCATTGAATGACCTTGACCTACCCATTGCAGTCCGTAAAGGCAAACACCATTGCACCTCATCCACAACCCACTATATCTCACAATTCTTGTCCTATGATCACCTGTCTCCCTCTTACAAGTCCTTTCTTACATCCATTGTTGATATTCCCATTCCCAAAACATTACAGGAAGCCCTGACCATTCCTGAGTGGAAAGATGCAATGAAGGTAGAAATTGATGCCCTTCTGAGAAACAATACCTGGGAGCTAGTTGATCAACCCAAAGGGAAGAAACCAGTTGGATGTAGATGGGTGTTTACTGTGAAACATAATGTTGATGGTTCCATTGAAAGGTATAAGGCCTGGTTAGTTGCAAAGGGATTTACTCAGACTTATGGTATCGATTACTTGGAAACTTTTGCACCAGTAGAAAAAATGACCACTACCAGAGTGTTATTATCTCTTGCAGCCAGCTACTCTTGGCCCTTGTTCCAAATGGATGTTAAAAATGTCTTCCTCAATGGAGACTTGCAAGAAGAAGTGTACATGCAGTTACCTCTTGGTTTTTATAGTACAGGGACAGGTAAGAAGGTTTGTCAGCTGAATAAAGCTTTGTATGGACTAAAACAGTCCCCCAGAGCTTGGTTTGATAGATTCAGACAAGCCCTTGAAAAGTTTGGCTATGTGCAGGC